GGAGCCTCCCAGTGACGCTCCTTCCAGACTCATCCCAAAAGACGAGCCAACGCCATGCGCTCTTGTGCGACGATCCGCCTCTCGGGTGCCCTTTTCCCCTCCGTCCTCCCCCTGCACCAACCTGAGGGGGTTCTTCGTAGATGGCCGAGGGGTCCGGCGGCTCCTCGTACAAATTTGCCTCATCCCCATGGGAAACTGGGAGGCTCGAATTGTACCCAGAGTCTCGTCCTACGAAAGAAACACCACGATATCCGTCACCAAAACCCCTTGCCTGCCCCACTCCCGCTCCAGGCTGAAGTGCCACCGAGGTTCTGGGATGAGCTGGATGTCCCCCGTGTCTCCTGTCCTGCAGAGGGGATGGGTCTGGCAAGGACGAACCCCGGCGTGGGGCGAGGAGGGGTTTGGGGAACGATAAAAAGGCCACGGGAGAGATTCAGGAGCTCCGACGGGGAAAGGAAGAAAGTTTCCTCAATAGGAACCGTCCCTCGTGGTGAGGACCAAGACTGACGGAGAAGGTTGGAGCAGAGACCCTGGCCAAGAGCAACATCTAGTGGTGACAGCACCCTGGGGACCGCTGGAGCTCAGCCCTGGTCCCCAGTCGCTGGGGTGGACGGCAGAAAAAGGACAACAATGTGCTCTGAAACCATGGGTTGGCTCCACCAAAGAAAAATCTGTTTCCAGCTGAAGCGTTTCACTGAACCCTCAAAGGGTTTGGTTTTTTTTTTAACCAGTTTTTTTGGGTTGCTTTGTGGGGGGTTTTTTGACCTTTTTTTTTTTTTTTTTTTAGGAAAAGGCAGCTTGAAAGTCATTTCCCAGCTCCCACCTTCCTGAAGCCAAAAGCTCTGGAGCAGCCTCGGGCCACGGCAGCGAGGGGCCTGGCCGGCTGGGGACGAGCCAGAGGGGACACTGAAACCACACAGCCCTTCAAGGACAGGGCAACACCACGGCGAGACCTTCCCAACAGAGCCAGCCCTCCTCCAGCCTCGCTCTTCCCACCCAAACCACCCGAAAGGGGACAGAGCATCTCCCCACAGGCAGAGAAAACTCTTCGGAGCCCGGCTCCCTCGCCCTACCTTGCCGCCTCAGCCCTCGGAGCCCCGCGTTGAGGAGACGCGGAGATCCTCTGGTCTTTACTGGGATGGTGAAACTCAGCCCTGTCTACCTGCTGGTGACCGCTGGCCCCGCGCTCTGCTGCCCAGGGGGGACATCACCACCTGGGGGTGGGAAACCTCCTTTGCTGCATCTCGAAGGCATTTTGGAAAGGTCTAAGGGCTCTGGAAGTGCGCGGAGCTGAATTTCAGCCCGTCAGCCAGGAGATGTCCTCCTGAACCTTCTGCTAAGGCTGAGGAGGAAACGAGGGACCTTGGCACCAGGCGGGGACAACTCTCCTCCGTCCCCATACTCAGCACCACACTCAGCTGGAGACATACCCCGTGCCCCACGCCACCACCCAGAACACCACCCCAGGCCTTGAAAAGCGAGTTTTATGGTGACACGGCACCCCAAAAAGAGTTGAGTTGGACAACAGGACTCATTTCCCGACCAACCTCATGGACACCTGAGCCACAGAGTCTCTGAGTGGGTATATCCCATCCCCTATCATGCACCGGCCTCCGGGAAGATCCACATTCTTAAAAACTACCCTGAGAGCAATGGGTGGTGGGACCTTCAAACATCATGACACACATTTAACAAAGGCCACCTGGTTCGTTATCACCAGGGGACCTGCCAACTGACCCAGCCCTGCCCGGTCAAACCTTCCACATCCGCTAGAAGGGGGTAAAGTCCCCATCGGGCACATGAAGAACGTGTCATGGAAAACCCTCTGGGTTATTCCTGCCATGGGCAAAGGCAAAACCACCTGTGCTGCTCAAGGACCTGTGTGCACTTGGTGGGTGATGATGCAAGAGGATGGGGAAGCCCGATATGTACCTCAGGGGGATTGATTTTGGGTGAGAACAGCCAATGAATCAAGCTGTATCATGTTAATTGTAATTTCATAGAATCACATGGTGGTTTGGGTTGGAAGAGACTTTGAAGACCATCCAGTGCCACCCCCCTGCCCTGGGCAGGGCCACCTCCCCCCAGCCCAGGCTGCTCCAAGCCCCGTCCAACCTGGCCTTGAACCCCTCCAGGGATGGGGCAGCCCCAGCTTCTCGGGGCAACCTGCCCCAGGGGCTGACCACCCGCACAGCCAACAATTTCTTCCTCAGATCTCATCTCAATCTCCCCTCTTCCAGTTTGAAGCCATTCGCCCTCGTCCCATCACTCCATGCCCTTGTAAAAAGTCCCTCCCCAGCTCTCCTGGAGTCCCTTTAGGCACCGAAAGGGGCTCTGAGGTCTCCCCGGAGCCTTCTATAGTGGTATAATTTCCCACTGGATGCCATCACTACTACAGTTGCTATATGCAGTATCAATAGTATTCCAGTAAGAATCACACAGATTAACAAAGAATGATGAAACGGAGCGATGTGCAGCGGTAACAGAACCAGAACTGGCTTCAGCAAGGGGGTTTCTGGCTACAAGACCCACTCGCCCTTTACCCAGGCAGGGGAAAAAAAAAAAAATCACAACAGAAACACAGAGCCCGGCCTCAAAATGCCCAATTTTGGGGCTCCTGTTCGGAGAGGTGAGGTGAAAAGCTTTGGTTAGGGGAGAAAGCAAAGTCACGCACCTGCGGCGGGTACCGGAGAGGCTGGAGGTGTCCCCCAAGCGTTGGAGGAGGTGAAGGAGGCTGCGGGAGCATCCCGGGCAGGAGAGACGGGAGAAGCAGGACTCGGCACAGAGTTCACCTCCTTCTGCAGGAAAGGGCTGCGAAGCTTGCCTGGAAAAGGGCAGAAGAGGGTCGGGATGAGCGGCGCAGGTTCCGGTTGGAGGCCTGTAGCTCGCGGTGTTCCCCCGGGGCCAGTACTGGGCCCAGTCTTGTTCAAGATATTCATCAATGACCTGGATGAGGAGACAGAGTGAACCCTGGGCAAGTTTGCTGATGACACAAAACTGACACACCAGAAGGCTGTGCCGCCATTCAGCAAGACCTGGAGAGGCTGGAGAGCCTGGTGGAGAGGAACCTAATGAAGTTCAACAAGGGCAAGTGTAGGGTCCTGCACCTCGGGAGGAATAACCTCATGCTCCGGTCCAGGTTAGGGGTTGACCTGTAAAAAGCAGCTCTGGCAAATAGGGACGTGGGAGTCCTGGTGCACAACAAGTTGCCCCTGAGGCAGCAGCGTGCCCTTGTGGCCAAGAAGGGCAACGGTGTCCTGGGGCGCATTCCAGAGACCGGGGCCAGCAGATCGAGGGAGGTCATCCTCCCCCTCTGCTCTGCTCTGGTGAGGCCACAGCTGGACTACTGTGTCCAGTTCTGGGCTCCCCAGTTGAAGAAAGACAAGGAACTACTGGAGAGAGTCCAGCAGAGGGCTACGAAGACGTTCAAGGGACTGGAGCACCTCTCTTGTGAGGAAAGACTGAGAGCCCTGGGTCTGTTTAGCCGGAGAAGAGAAGACTGAGAGGGGATCTCATCAGTGCTTATCACTATCTAAAGGGTGGGGGTGAAGGGGATGGGGCCAGACTCTTCTCAGTGGTGCCCGGCGACAGGACAAGGGGCAACGGGCACAAACTGGATCACGGGGAATTCTGTCTCAACATGAGGAAAACTTCTTTCCTTTGGTGGTGCCAGAGCACTGGAAGAGGCTGCCCAGAGAGGTGGGGGAGTCTCCTTCTCTGGAGAGATTCAAAACCTGCCTGGATGTGACCCTGTGCAACCTGCTCTGGGTGACCCTGCCTTGGCAGGGGGTTGGACTGGATGATCTCCCAAGGTTCCTTCCAACCCCCACCATGCTGGGATTCTGGGATAAAGAGCCAAACGTGGTGCAGGAACTGGGCAAGCATGGAGGCTCCCAGCCGCACTGCAACAGCACCGAGACTCCCCCGGTGTTAGTCACCGAAGGGTGTTGTCGGATGCTTTTTTGCCTTAGGAGCCCACCGCTGGGTTATCCTCCTAAGCAGGATTTTCCAGCTCTAGTCCTGGTTGGGGAAAACAAGTTTGTCTACTGGTTACAGCAGCAGCTGCAGCCAAGGGGAAAATTCAAGAGAAAAAAAAAAAAAAAACAGACATGATTTTGGGGAAGAAGAGTAGGACACCGCCACCTCTCCGGGCTCTCCACGGTGATTTTCGGAGCAGATTGGACTCCACAGGCATTCGCACCCGCGCCGGGGAGGATGCAGACTGCCAGGCTTCGCTTTCCTTTGGCAGAAGGAAACTCTTCCCTCTTATCTGCCCCATCTCCGCCGCCCAACGCAAACAAAAGCGAAGCAGGATTGTTCCCCGACCAGCCCTACCCCCGGCGCAGCGGTGAATAAGCACCAGGACTCGCCAGCCTGCCCTCAGCCCCACCGGTATTATCGGTGCCACAGCGTTTGTCTCCCTTTCCCTCCGCTGAAAACCCACCGAAATATAAAATACATAAATAAATAGAAACGTTAGAAACACTAACGCAAAACCCCGAGGGATCTCTCGCCCTCAGAACTCAGCCTTCCCCTCCATGATGGTTTTAACCATCTTTTTAAGACGTTCTCCCGCTGTGGGATTTCACCCTGTGCCACTGATGGCTTTGCCTACCGGAGAGAGCGCATTCCCACTCCTCTCGCAAAATAAAAGCGCTTATTCTGAATTAATTCAGGCTATTTTCAAGGAGGCTGAGCTGAGGAGGAGACATTTGTCCCGGGGTATCACGTGTTCTCAGCCACTTCCCCGGCTGGTTTCAGCTTCGCTTTTCACAGCTTCCTGGTTTCCATCCCATAGATCAGACTGGTCCCTTTTCTAAAGGGCCGCGCTCCTGCTTGGTTCCACCAGTGCCAAAAATCGGGTGGAATTTACAGCAGTCGGGATAGACTGTGTGGCCGTGGCCCCTTTCCGGCACTAATATATTCAATTTTCATTTTAAAAATTAAATTTAAGCTTTGTGAGTCGAGTCCAAGTATGGAAAACTTCCCCCCCCCGGGCGCAGCGCAAACCTCACCGCGACACCTGGCCGGGTGTGATGAGAGCTACCCGTGCTCAGCGGCAACTGTGACCCATCCCAACACATCCCTCCCCCCAAATTGGGACCACTCCATTTGGGGACAGGGGAACCGGCTCCCGCCCGGTGCCGTACCTGGCTGGGATGCCGTCGCCGCGTCCGCCGGCACCGACTTCTCCTTCTGCTTGAAGATGTCGCGGGGGTTCACCGCCCGCTGCGCTATCAGCGAGGCGGCCTCCTGCGGAGGCGAAGAGGGCGCAAACACAGCGGTCACGGCACCGGGGTCAGGGGACGGGGAGCAGCGGGGAGGTGATGGGTCCCCCTCCCCAGCAAAGCGTACCTGGGCTTTCTCCACCGATTCGCTTCTCTTGAAGCCCTTCCGCTGCCTGGCCTCGTACTCCTCGGCGTGCTCCTTCTGCACCGAAGAGAGGGGCTGCTACAGCCTTGGGGGGCACCAAGCCACCCTCCTTCCCCATCCAGCCCCCTTTTCCCCCATCCTACCC